GGAATGTAAATTAGTTCAACCATTGTGGAAAGCAATATGGAGGTTCCTCAAAAAGTTCAAATAGAAATACCATTTCACCTAGGAATTCCACTTCTAGGAATTTACCCTAAGAATTCAGCACCCCAATTTGAAAAAGACAGATGCACCCCTATGTTTATCACAGCACTATTTACAATAGCCAAGAAATGGAAGCAACCTAAGTGTCCATCAGTAGATGAGTAGATAAAGAAGATGTGGTACATATACACAATGGAATATTACACATCCATAAGAAAAAAACAGATCCTACCATTCGCAACAACATGGATGGAGCTAGAGGGTATTATGCTCAGTGAAATAAGCCAGACAAAGACAAGTACCAAATGGTTTCACTCATATGTGGAGTATAAGAACAAAGAAAAACTGAAGGAACAAAACAGTAGCAGAATCACAAAACCCAAGAATGGACTAACAGTTAGCAAAGGGTGAGGGACTGGGGAGGATGGGAAGGGAGGGATAAGGGTGGGGAGCGAGAAAGGGGGCATTATGATTAGCATATATAATGTTGGGGGTGCACGGGGAAGGTTGTGCAACACAGGAAGACAAGTAGTGATTCTACAGCATCTTACTACTCTGATGGACAGTGACTGTAATGGGGTTTGTGGGGGGGGGACTTGGTGAAGGGGGGAGCTTAGTAAACATAATGTTCTTCATGTAATTGTAGATTAATGATACCAAAAAAAAGTCTAGCCCCTAAATGCAGTTTAAAACCTGGTGGAGAGAGGAAGCAGAGCAGGTGGCAAGAAGAAACCAGGCTAATCAATTACCAATAAATTTAGGACAATTAACTGGCAATGGAGATTGCTTAGGAGTTAGAGCTCAATTACAATATCCTGATGAGGGTATTGTACAAGTCTGTGTTGCCTCTGTGCTTGGGATAAAATGGAACCACCTGAAAGGCTGCTGAGTCTTATATCAAAGTTATTCAGTCTCAAGGGGAGCCTTATGTGGACTTTTTATCCCAATTAAAAGATGCCATTCAAAAAACAGTTTCACAGCCAGACCTGCAGGATCTCTTATGACAAACTCTTTCTTTTGAAAATGCTAATGTAGAATATCAAAAAACCCTTCGGCTTCTAAAAATCCAAAATGCCTCTCTAGACAAGTATATTGAGCTTGTCTAGATGTGGGAAGTGAGCCTTATGAAGCCAATTTATTGGTTGTGGCTCTTAAAGAAACATTAAAACAAAATAAAACTAAGTGTTACAACTGTGATAAATTAGGTCATCTTCGGAAAGATTGCCGAAAAAATAGAATGAAAGAAAAGAAGAAAAGAAACCTTCCCAGGATGTATGTCCTTGCTGTAAAAAGAGGAAACATTGGCCTAATGAATGTAAATCAAAGTGGGACAAAAAAGGGCAACCTTTAGAGAGACAGGGAAACTGGAATGTGGACCCAGCTCAGGGCCCCCAGAAAAACAGTAGGAGCATTCAACAATACCCAGTCAGCAATGGCAAAGATCATGCCATCGCTCAATCAATGACCTTTCTCATGCCACAAGAGGGAGTGCAACATTAGATATTCCCATTTTAGATAATTTACATTTGCTACCTGTTGGATTCTTAATTGGTAGAAGTGGTCTTACTAGTCAGAGAGTTCAAATTCATTTGGGAGTTATAGACAGTGATTATGAGGGTGAAACTCAAATTATGATGAGTACCAATAAGCCAGTGTTGTTAGAGGCAGGACAGAGAATTGCACAACTCCTTCTGTTGCCTTACATAAGGGGAAATCTGACCCCGTTCAAAGACAAGGTGGATTCGGCAGTACTGGTAAAAAGAGACATTGGCAAACTTATGTTAATGATGATTGACCCAAAATGAATGTTTATATAAATAATTTGTCCTTTAAGGGATTAGTAGATACAGGTGTTGATGTTTCTATAATATCTCAAGCGTCTTGGCCTTCTGCTTGGCCTTTAACTTCTGTGTCTGCTACATTTACAAGAATAGAACACTTAGAGAGATTTTTCAAAGTGTGTCACCCTATTCATGTATTGGGCCTGAAGGACAAAAGGCTATGTTGCAGCCTTTTGCTGCTCCTATACAGATTAATCTTTGGGGTGGAAATTTATTGTCCCAGTCGGGGGCAACCATAAATATACCATCCATCTCCCTCCAATCTAGAAATATTATAACTCAAATGGGATATGATTTTAGAAAAGGTTTAGAAAAAAAATCAACAAGGTATTTTAACTAACATAATACCTCAACCCAAATTAAATCAATCAGGCATCGGATATCCAAATTTATGATAGAGGCCACTGTTCATAGCTTCACCCTTCCCTTAAAATAGTTAAGTGATAAACCAATATGGGTAGAGCAGTGGCCTTTAACAAAAGAGAAGCTTCAAACATTGGAGCAATTAATTCAGGAACAGATGTCTGCTGGACATATAGAAGAATCTGTTAGCCCAGGGAATTCTCCTATTTTTGTTATTAAGAACAAATCAAGAAAATAGACAATGCTAACAGATTTAAGAAAAATAAACGCTGTTATTCAGCAGATGGGTCCTCTACAGTGTGGACTGCCACAACCCAGTATGATTCCCTGAGACTGGAATATTAAAATAATTGATTTAAAAGATTACTTTTTCACCATTCCTTTACAATCTTCTGATTGTGAAAAATTTGCTTTTACTGTTCCATCTCCCAATAATTATAAACTTACTGCTCAATATCAATGGAAAGTTTTACCTCAAAGAATGTTAAATAGTCATACATTATGCCAATGCTTTGTTAATCAACCTTCAGAAAAATTAAAGAGAAAATTTCCTAATTCCTTAATTATTCATTATATGGATGATATTTTAATTGCTCATGAAAATTTACCCACTTTGCAAACCCTCTATGAGCAAGCTGTTACAGAATTAACCGCTTATGCTCTTATTATTGCTTCTGACAAAGTGCAAGATAGTACTCCATATAACTGTTTAGGAAGTATAATTGAAAGAACAAAAATTCTCCACAAAAAATTCAAATTAGGAGAGATAGTCTCAGGACTCTAAATGACTTTCAAAAGCTCTTAGGTGATATTAATCGGCTTCACCCTTCATTAGGAATTCCAACCTATTCATTCAAGCATTTATCGAATACTTTAAATGGGAATTCTGAATTAAATAGTCCTAGACAATTGTCACCTCAGGCTGAAAAAGAATCAGACTGGATAGAAGAACATATGAGAAATAGTTATTTAGATCGTATTGATACACAATATGATGTTGAGTTATTAGTCTTCCCTTCTGAGCATTCCCCTACTGGTATTTTATGGCAAAAAGAAAAAATTTTAGAATGGATATTTTTACCACATAAAGCATCAAAGAAATTACTTACATATATAAATAAAATTTGTCAGTTAATTATTTGTGGGCGCTTACAATTGCATGCCTTGATTGCACAAGACCCTTCCCAAATTGTTGTTCCCCTTACAAACACCCAAATAGCTGACAACTGGAAATTGAATAACAGCTGGCAAATAGCCTTTGCCAACTATGTAAGAAATATTAATAATAATTTTCCAAAAGACAAACATATTCAATTTCTTAGAAAAACTCAATGGATTTTTACTGACATTATTGAAACTCATCCTATCCCAAAAACTGAAACTTATACAGATGCTAATAGAAAAGGCAAAACAGGATATAGTGGAAAAACTACAAAAATTGTTCAAACTTCTTATCACTCAGTACAAAAAGCTGAATTATATGCTGTTATGTTATTACAAGATGTTACAAATCCCCTTAATATTGTTACTGACTCACAATATGTTGAATATACAGTAAAACATATTTACTCTGTGACTCTATTTGATGATGGCACTGAATTGATTAATTATTTTGTACTTTGTGACAATTATTGTATGATAGACATTATGATGTTTATATTACTCATATCCGAGCATATACCTCTCTCCCTGGACCAATGGCTAAAGCTAATGAACATATTGATAAGTTACTTATTGGATCCCTATTGACTGCCAAGGCATGGCATGAACAAACTCATGTTAACAGAAAAGATTTACAAGTTAAATTCCACCTCACTAAAGAATAAGCTCCAAATATTATTTACCAATGCCCTCAATGTACTCAAATTCAAAGTAAACCTTTTACACCCCAGGGGTCGATCCAAGAAAATTGCACCCTAATGAACTGTGGCAAATAGATGTCACTCATATTCCAGAATTTGGAAAATTATCTTTTGTTCATTGCTCAATTGATACATATTCTGGTTTTAGGTGAGCTTCTGCACTATCAGGAGAAAAAGCTGATACATAATTCAACATTTACTAGAAGCTTTCAATGTTATGAGATTGCCAGCTAAAATTAAAACAGATAATGCCCCTGGTTATCTCTCTACAAAATTACAAAACTTTTTCTCCCAAAGAGATATTAAGCATATTACTGAAATTCCATATAACCCTCAGGGACAAACAATTATTGAAATACATAATTGTACATTAAAAGAAATGTTGCTTAAACAAAAAGGGGGATATGATGGCATAGAACCTCCCTGTAAGAGAATACATAGGGTATTATTTACTCTGAATTTTTTGAATTCAAATGATACAGGTTCATCAGCATCTGACAGACATTGGATACAGGAAAAGTCTCCTGAAATAAATCAGCCTGTTTTTTATAAAAATGACATGGGAGAATGGGAATCATGGATGGTTCAGAGGTGGGGCCAAGGATATGCTTGTGTCATTACAGAAACAGGAGAAACTGTGTGGATCCCAGCTAAGAAGATAAAACCCAAAAAATGAATAAAAGGCCTCGATTTAATGTTGAACCTCCAGCTGATGAGATGCAAGCCATGATTATTAGAAGATCCAGAGTTTGAGTTTCATTACCAAGAAGTAGGTGAATCCCCCAACATGGGGACAATTTAAAAAGATGACACAGGAAGCTGAAAAAATTATACAACAGACCAGACAAGCACGCAACGCTTCAGATTTATTCCTGGCTATGTTTGCTGTGGTCACCATAGGGGTAAGTTCTGCTAATGGCATTAATCATTCATATTGGGCTTACATTCCTAACCACCTGATCAATCAAGTTATTCGTCGGCTCTCTGAGACGGTCCCAATATATGTTAATGATTCCAACTGGACTCCTGGTCCTAATGATACTCGTGGCCCATTAAAGCCAGGAGAAGAGGGCATGAAAATTGAGAATTATACCGTGGGAGTAGAGGGGATACCTATTTGTATTGGACAATGAAACCATTGCTTAAAAATAACAACCAGCTACATGGCTGTCCATTGTCAAAAATAATACCAATAAAAAAATTGTTCCTTCTTCAAGCATTTGGATTCCACAAAAAAGATAATACAAAAGACACAACAGATCATCCCTCTGATTTGGCCATCTGCACCCAGCCAATAACTATGAAAATCAGTGAATGGGTGCACTGGACGAATTGTCAAGGAGAACTAGGTCGGGTTTTACTTAATACTTCCTGTGGAAGCATCACTGATTGGAACCCTCAAGGTTCCACCTGGACCAAAAGACAGGGGCATGACTTGAAATGGCATAAATATATTAATGTCATTAATTACACCATTGTCACTTCTTCTAATGAGACCCTTTATTGGCATGGAGGTGGGATGTCTCCTCCTGCCCCTCATTTACCTTTTAGGCCCCTGCAGTATCACTTAAGGAAAATTCCCTCAGCTTTTCGGAGTCTGATAGCTTGGAAAGACCATATTTAGAATGATAGCCTTACAAAAAGTAGTCAATTAAGTTTTACAAAAACTGAGAGTCATTATATTATAGCCTGTGTCAGATTGCCTTTTATATTATGATTGGTCACATAGCGTGGAGTTCATCTGGATATTCCATCTCCTGTGCAAATTGTTCATTCTATATTTGTATTAATAACTCTGTTCCTTTTTCCACAAAAGATAATCTTTATATTCTTAAGGCTAGAACAGGTCTCTGGTTTCCAGTTCAACTACACCGAAAGTGGCAAGATTCTCCATGCATCATGTTTCTCCAATATACTATTGATAAATCTTCTGAAGAGAACTAAATGAATGATTAGATTAATCATTGCAGCTGTCCTGGGGATCATAGCCATAATTGCAACTGCTACAGCCGCTGGGGTCGCGCTTCAACAAAGCATTCAGACTGTTGACTTTGTTAATAATTGGCATTCTAATTCGTCAAAATTGTGGATCACCTAAAGACGGATAGATAGTGAAATTAATGCACAATTGACTGATTTGCAACAAGCAGTTATTATGCTAGGAGATCAAATTGTTAGTTTGCAACGTCAAATTTCTATGAAATGCAATTGGAATACAACTGGATTTTGTGTTACTCCTATACCTTATAATCATACTTATGTTCCCTGGGATAATGTTAAAAAACATGTTAAATCATGGTAATATGACTCAAGAAATATTAGAACTTCAACAGCACATTACTGATAATTTCCAGAAACAATTACAAGTATTAAGTGGTTCTAATCTATTGGAAAGCATTGCAGATGGAATAAATAATCTGGACCTGATAAAACACTTAAAAATTTTTAGTGGTTCCACTACTACACTTACAAATAATTGTATTATATTTGTTATTTGTATTTTATATAGTCTGGAGAAGAGCTACCCGAAAACGTCAACATGCTCAACAGCAATCAGCAGTCTTCTCATTAATGTTACAAAAGGTGCAAGTGAAACAAAAAGGGGGAAATGTAGACACCCCAGCAATTAACTTTGCTGTAGTTTAGTTCTGGTTAAGCTTGATTTATAACTAAAACTAATCTAAGAGAAAAGAACAATACGTTTATTGCTTAAGTTTGATTAATAGCTGAAACTAACCTAATAGAAAGAACAAAGTGTTAATTCCTGGAATCTGGTGTGAGTTATGGACAGTGTGGAACAGGAGCTGCAAACAGTTCCTGTGATCCTTTCTGCAGCAAACCCAGACAAGGAACATGCTGTGAAACTCACTAACCGGATGACTTGACTTAACAAGTTTAGGTGAGCAGGCCTCATTTCTCAAAGTAGTCCAGGGGGTAATGCTCACCATAGGTTTGGAGGTGATGGGCCAGAGACTCCTGTTGCTTGTGGAGCTAGGCAGGCATTCCTGATTCAAGTCTGAGAAGAGAGTTTTCAGAGTATGAGTCTTTCACCTCTTGGTTAGGTTTTTTCCTAGATATTTTATTATTTTTGATGCAGTTATAAATGTTCTTGATTTTTCTTTCTGCTACCTTGTTGTTAGAATATAGGAATACAACAGGTTTCTGTGTAATAATTTTATATCCTGCAACTTCTGAATCTAGTTATTCTACTCTTTTAGTGGAGTCCTTAGGGTTTTTCTCTATATAGTATCATTAGACAAAGATTATTTTGGTATTATTAATGTACAATTACATAATGTACTATTACATAAGCAACATTATGGTTACTAGACTTCCCCCATTATCAAGTCTCCACCACATACCCCATTACAGTCACTGTCCATCAGCATAATAAGATGCTATAGAATCACTACTTGTCTTCTCTGTGTTGTACAGCCCTCCCCATGCCCCCCACCCTAAATTATGTCTGCTAATCATAATGCCCCTATTCCCCCCTTGTCCCTCCCTTCCCAACCATCCTCCCCAGTCCCTTCCCTTTGCTAACTGTTAGTCCATTCTTGGGTTCTGTGATTCTGCTGCTGTTTTGTTCCTTCAGTTTTTCTTTGTTCTTATACTCCACAGATGAGTGAAATCATTTGATACTTGTCTTTCTCTGCCTGGCTTATTTCACTGGGCATAATACCCTCTAGCTCCATCCATGTTGTTGCAAATGGTAGGATTTCTTTTTTTCTCATGGCTGAATAATATTCCATTGTGTATATGTACCACATCTTCTTTATCCATTCATCTACTGATGGACACTTAGGTTGTTTCCGTTTCTTGGCTTTTGTAAATAGTGCAGTGATAAACATAGGGGTGCACCTGTCTTTTTCTAACTGGGCTGCTGCATTCTTAGGGTAAATTCCTAGGAGTGGAGGTCCTGGGTCAAATGGTATTTCTATTTTTAGTTTTTTGAGGAACCTCCATACTGTTTTCCACAACAGTTGAACTAATTTACATTCCCACCAGCAGTGTATGGGGGTTCCCCTTTCTCCACATCCTTGCCAACAGTTGTTGTTGTTTGTCTTTTGGATGTTGGCTATCCTAACTAGTGTGAGGTGATATTTCATTGTGTTTTCAATCTGCATTTCTCTGATGATTAGTGCTGTGGAGCATCTTTTCATGTGCCTGTTAGCCATCTGAATTTCTTCTTTGGAGAAGTGTCTGTTCATATCCTCTGCCCATTTTTAAATTGGCTTATTTGCTTTTTGTTTGTTTAGGTGCATGAGCTCTTTATATATTTTGGATGTCAATCCTTTGTCGGATCTGTCATTTATGAATATATTCTCCTATACTGTAGGATGATTTTTCTATTGGTGGTGTCCTTTGCTGTACAAAAGCTTTTCAGCTTGATATAGTCCCACTTGTTCATTTTTGCTTTTGTTTCCCTTGCCTGGGGAGATATGTTCATAAAGAAGTTGCTCATGTTATGTCCAAGAGATTTTTGCCTATGTTTTTTTCTAAGACTTTTATGATTTCATGACTTACATTCAGGTCTTTGATCCATTTTGAATTTACTTTTGTGTGTGGGGTTAGACAGTAATCCAGTTTCATTCTCTTACATGTAGCTGTCCAGTTTTGCCAACACCACCTGTTGAAGAGGCTGTCATTTCCCCATTGTATATCCATGGCTCCTTTATTGTGTATTAATTGACCATATATGTTTGGGTTAATGTCTGCAGTCACTAGTCTGTTCCACTGGTCTGTGGGTCTGTTCTTGTGCCAGTACCAAATTGTCTTGATTACTGTGGCTTTGTAGTAGAGCTTGAAGTCAGGGAGCGTAATTCCCCCTGCTTTAGTCTTCCTTCTCAGGATTGCTTTGGCTATTCGGGGTCTTTTGTGTTTCCATATGAATTTTAGAGCGATTTTCTCTAGTTCGTTGAAGAGTGCTGTTGGTTTTTTGATAGGGATTGCATTGAATCTTTAGATTGCTTTAGGCAGGATGGCCATTTTGACAATATTAATTCTTCCTATCCATGAGCATGGGATATGTTTCCATTTATTGGTATCTTCTTTAATTTCTCTCATGAGTGTCTTGTAGTTTTCAGAGTATAAGTCTTTCACTTCCTTGGTTAGGTTTATTCCTAGGTATTTTATTCTTTTTGATGCAATTGTGAATGGAATTGTTTTCCTGATTTCTTTTTCTGTTAGTTCATCTTTAGTGTATAGGAATGCAACAGATTTCTGTGGATTAATTTTTTATCCTGCAACTTTACTGAATTCAGATATTAGTTCTAGTAGTTTTGGAGTGGATTCTTCAGGATTTTTATGTACAATATCATATCATCTGCAAACAGTGACAGTTTGACTTCTTCCTTGCCAATCTGGATGCCTTTTATTTCTTTGTGTTGTCTGATTGCCCTGGCTAGGACCTCTAGAACTATGCTGAATAAAAGTGGGGAGAGTGGGCATCCTTGTCTTGTTCCCGATCTTAAAGGAAAAGCTTTCAGCTTCTCGCTGTTCAGTATGATGTTGGCTGTGGGTTTTTCATATATGGCCTTTATTATGTAGAGGTACTTGCCCTCTATAGCCATTTTGTTGAGAGTATTTATCATGAATGGAAGTTTAATTTTGTCGAATGCTTTTTCAGCATCTATGGAGATGGTCATGTGGTTTTTGTCCTTCTTTTTGTTGATGTAGTGGATGATGTTCATGGATTTTCAAATGTTGTACCATCCTTGCATCCCTGGGATGAATCCCACTTGATCTTGATGGATGATCTTTTTGATTTATTTTTTAATTCGATTTGCTAATATTTTGTTGAGTATTTTTTCATCTATGTTCATCAGGGATATTGGTCTGTAATTTTCTTTTATTGTGGTGTCTTTGCCTGGTTTTGCTATTAGAGTTATGTTGGCCTCATAGAATGAGTTGGGAGTATTCCCTCCTCTTCTACTTCTTGTAAAACTTTAAGGAGTATGGGTATTAGGTCTTCACTAAATGTTTGATAAAATTCAGCAGTGAAACCATGTGGTCCAGGGGTTTTGTTCTTAGGTAGTATTTTGATTACCAATTCAATTTCTTTGCTGGTAATTGGTCTATTCAGGTTTTCTGTTTCTTCCTTGGTCCACCTTGGAAGGTTGTATTTTTCTAGAAAGTTGTCCATTTCTTCTAGGTTATCCAGTTTGTTACCATATAATTATTAATAATATTCTCTAATAATTCTTTGTATTTCTTTGGTGTCCTTAATGATTTTTCCTTTCTCATTTCTGATTCTGTTTATGTGTGTAGACTCTCTTTTTTTCTTGATAAGTCTGGCTAGGTGTTTATCTATTTTTTTATTTTCTCGAAGAACCAGCTCTTTCTTTCATTGACTCTTTCTATTGTTTTATTCTTCTCAATTTTATTTACTTATGCTTTAATCTTTATGATGTCTCTCCTTCTACTGACTTTGGACCTCATTTGTTCTTCTTTTTCTAGTTTCATTAATTGTGAGTTTAGACTGTTCATTTGGGATTGTTCTTCTTTCCTGAGGTAGGCCTGGATTGCAATATATTTCCCTCTAGCATGGCCTTTCCTGTGTCCCACAGATTTTGTGGTATTGCATTATTGTTGTCACTTGTCTCCATATATTGCTTGATCTCTATTTTTATTTGGTCATTGATCCATTGATTATTTAGGATCATGTTATTTAGCCTCCATGTGTTTGTGGCCTTTTCATTTTCATTGCATAATTTATTTCTGGTTTCATACCTTTGTGGTCTGAGAAACTGGTTGGTACAATTTCAGTCTTTTTGAATTTGCTGAGGTTCTTTTTGTGGCCTAGTATATGATCTATTCTTGAAAATGTTCCATGTGCACTTGAGAAGAATGTGTATCCTGTTGCTTATGAATGGAGTGTTCTGTAGATGTCTGTTAGGTCCATCTGTTCTAATACATTGATCAGTGCCTCTGTCTCTTTATTATTTTCTGTCTGGTTGATCTGCCCTTTGGAGTGAGTGGTGTGTTGAAGTCTCCTAAAATGAATGCATTGCATTCTATTTCCCCCTTTAATTCTGTTAGTTTTGTTTCAGATATGTAGGTGATCCTGTGTTGGGTGCATAGGTATTTATAATAGTTATATCCTCTTGTTTGACTGACCCCTTTATCATTATATAATGTCCTTCTTTGTCTCTTGTTCCTTTCTTTGTTTTGAAGTCTATTTTGTCTGATACAAGTACTGCAACTCCTGCTTTTTCTCCCTATTAGTTGCATGAAATATCTTTTTCCATCCCTTTACTTTCAGTCTGTGTATGTCTTTGGGTTTGAAGTGAGTCTCTTGTAGACAGCATATAGATGGGTCTTGTTTTTTTATCCATTCAGTGACTCTACGTCTTTTGATTGGTGCATTCAGACTATTTACATTTAGGGTGATTATCGATACATATGTACTTATTGCCTTTGCAGGCTTTAGATTCGTGGTTACCAAAGGTTCAGTCATTAGACAAATATTTTAAACAAGCTTTTATAAAAATGTTCAAGAAGATAGAAGAGTGTATCAATATAATAAAAGAGATAGGAATTCAAGAACAAAATATCTGAGGATTTCCACTTCCAGGAAGATGGAGTACATATAACTTTCTCTAGTTCTCTTACTAAGTGCAATTAAAAATACCAGGTATTATATATAAGCCAATATGTATGCGTGTGTGTGTGTGTGTGTGTGTGTGTGTGTGTGTGTGTATATATGTGTGTGTGTGTGTATATATATATATATACACATATACATATAAAGAAGATTCTGAAAGATGGAGAGAAAAAGGCAGACTGACTAGAGGGACCTTAGGATCTGAGGAAAGAACAGTGATGAAAGAAAAACAGTCCCTTGGTTTTCTTTTTGCCTCATATATCCCAAACAATTACTATGAACAA